GGCCCCATTCCCGTCTGAAACCCTGTACTTAGCAGTTTTTGATGTGAGTTTTGACTGATGGCAACGGATTCGTTGGTCGTTGTTCTACGTAGAGTGAAGATTTATGGAACCGTGGTTCAAGGCTGGTACAATACATCACACCTATCCAGGCTGCGGAGAGCACACCAAAAACGCCTCCCATGCTTGCCAAATCACGGAGAATTAGCCAGTGTATTCAGAACATACTCGTCACCATCACCATAATCTTGTTTACGCATTGCAACAGGCAAAGCTTAAGGCACAGAATGTAGCATGTCCGCACGCCAAGCTAGCAGAACAACACAAGACTGTAGCAAGTCAAGCTTGCTTGGCTTCTTCAATTAATCACACTGTAATGTTTTTACAGTCTCGTACTCCAATTTCGTCCTTACTCCGCGATTTTCAAAATTTGTCGGGACAAATAAACAACACGTCAAATCACTGCACTCGATGACTAGTGCTACCTCACTGGATAGCCAGCTGCGCCCCAGCCATAAATTGCCCCCCCCCCCCCAAATGACCTTTTTTCGGTGTGACCGCTGCCTTAGAGCAAGGCTCTCATGCAAAGTATCATACAACAACACAAAAGGTCTGAGTTTCCCTGCTGCAGGCTTGTGCACATCTTCATCCACAGGTATACCTGCACTGGAACCTATCGTGTGTACACCGGTGCATGGTCCAGTTAATGGGGAAGTCCGGTGAAAAATTTAAATTTCAGGGTCGGTAGAGTTTTGGGCGCTGAGTCGAATGGTGTTGGTCCCACGTGTCTCTGACAAAGCGTTCTCGAGATATTTCCGTTTGAAAAACTGAGTTTCGGGGGCTGCGCCATGACGTCATGCGGCCGCGCCACATCCTCCGCAACGTCATAGCGTGCAGCTAGGTCAAAAGGAGTGCGTGAAAGCAATAGTGTCAGTGCTATTTCAAATGATTTGGCGACTGATATTAGGTGGTGCAAGCGACCCCGAAGACCTAACTCCTTGTGAGAGTGAGGATGCAGCCATGGCTGACCTTCATGAGTTTGGTCTGGGGCTGAGAACCTCGGTATTCAGCTGAAGAAATGGCCGCGTGGGCCGGCCAAGAGTGAGCGCTACTGAGTTTCCGACTGATGCAGAAGCAGCAGCTATTGCAGACGAGGCTGATATAATTATCGCTGGAGAGCAGGGTTGCCAAAATGGAGAAGAGTGATGCGAGTACTCTAAATGTTGTTCCATACTGATTCGCTTAGACTCCAGTAGCCTGGCACATGGTGATGTTTTGGTGCGAACTAATATTTCGGACTACTCAATTGGAGAACAGTGCAGGCTCTTTGAACCACGGGCACGGCTCTTCGCTCGCAACGCTATGGAATCTGAAAGTTCTAGGTCCGGGAGCTGTTCGCTGTTTTGTCACTTGTCACGGTTGTGCACTCATCGCTGTAGCATAAAATAATGAGGCAGTCCGGAGCGGAAAACTAAAATTTTCTTTCTCAAAGCACAACCACCGGCACCGGCAAGGAGAAACGCACGTTCTCTGACTACATGAACTGATACGAGTGTAGTACATGACAAGTCTGTGTGTTGACTAGTTTTCTGAGTCTTGTGACTCGAGTCTTGTTGTACGAGCGTAGTAGCTACCCCAGCACGGCAGTGCGGGAGTAGTTCCGTGTGTGATGAGTTTGTTGACTGCACTACAGCTAGCATGCACGCAGCGCATTGCTAGAGCCGTAGAGGCTGACGGAAAAAGTGCAACTCGGAAACGGCTAAAATACGGTATAACGTCGAGGTTTACCGAGCTGAAAATCACAGGGCACGTAGTGTTTGTAACACTGAATCGAATGGTCTTGGTCCGAAGAAGCTGCGACAAACGGTTCCCCAATCGAACGCGCTCCGAATATGGCCATTTTGTACACAACTAGATGGTGTGGCTACCTGGCTGCACGCTGTGACGTCATCACCTGGATCTGGGTGATGTGCGCTCAAATTCGCGCATGTTCGATTGGGCGTATCTGACGAACCATAGGCCGCAGCCTCCTCGGACAAAGACCATTCGACTCAGCGACCCGAACTCTACGGACTGTGAAATTTAAATTTTTCACCGGACTTCCCCTTTAAATACCTTGTAATCGGGGGAGGGGTGGGGGTGTAGCTGGTCCCCCCCCCCTTTCAGGAGGGTGCATGGCCGCATAACTTTATAAAGTGTAGGTTGGTTTGCGTAAGTCAATCATGGTCATTATATGCATGGTCGAAATTGGATGGGTTACTCGCATGCGTACTTGACATATGCGATGAAGTCACTTCATAAGTAGAAATTTGACATGGGCTGAATCAACAGTATCTACCGGTAATTCAGTAAAACATCCGTACTGCACAGATACAGTCATTACTCATACTCTCCTACACCGGGAGTGCGGTGAAATCTAGACACTAGAAGTGGCAGGAGCGGGTAACTTGACTATCCCTCCGAGCGCATGGTGAAATATGTTTCATGACATCAGTCTCTCGTGGCCGTTTGACCCACTGATGCCTTTATGCGTCAAGCCACAAAGAA